CTCTTTGGAATTTTAATTCTAATGAAAATATTTATTGCATATATCGATTTAATTAGTAGTAAATGTGAGTGAGCTAGTAATTTTTTTAAGAGAAAAATTTATAAATTTTATTAATTAGCATATTAATTTATCATAATTTAAATGTATAAATAATTGAATACACACCTTCGCAAAAAAAAAAAAATAAAAACATTAATCATTCAACCAACAAATAATTAATGAATTAATTTTTGTTGTTGGTGAAAGTAAAAAATTATAAGTCAAGTTTTTAACTCACATTCTTAAATTATACTTCAAGTTTTTAATTCATTGTGACATTAATATTTTTTTGATTAAAAAATACAATAAATTTACTAAAATTTAACTCAATTTAGTTAGTATAACTTCACAAATAAAGTAGTGATTTAAAGTCTTTACTGCTACTGAATTAAACATTATATCAATTTATAATACACTCGCAGAATAACAAATTTTATATATTTAATATAGTTCGAATCTATAACATTATAGCAGAATAAACAAAATTTTCGGTTGACAATGGAATGGTTAAGTTATAAATGTTCAAATCCAAATGATGGTTGTCTTACCCTTACTTGCCTTCTTCTTCCTCTACTTTCTCCTCTTGCCCTTTTTGATTATCATTGTGATGTTTTTTCTCTCAAAACTGTCTCAAACTTGAACAGATATATAACTAAAAGCAAGTAAGTTTTCTTTCATTCGTTCTTTAATTTCTTTATTTTAGTGACTAAGAAGTTCTTTGTTCGTAATTAGAGTCAGACAGAAATAAATAATAATTCAATATCCATAAGACTTTCTTTTTTATTTGGATTTCGGAGGATAATTAGAAAAATTAATTATATTTTTTCTTTAATTTTCTTTTGCATTTCAAAGAAAACACTCACACTTTCTCAACAATGATGTCCTTCTCCTTCTGTCTTGTTCTTTGTCCACTATATCCTCTCAACTTCCTTGATCATCCTTACATTATATTTGCTCATAACATTATTCGAATTAGTAAAAACAAACTAGCATTCTTCACTTATTTCTTTAATTTTTCGTTTTGGTCATTTGAGAGTTCTCTTTTTTATTAGAATCAAATGAAAATAAACAATAATTTGATGTTCATAAAACTTTCTTTCTTATCTAGATTTAGGAAGATAGCTAGAGATTTTGATTTATTATCTATTTTTTTATTTATTTTTGTTGTGATGAAATTGAGAAGAGAATTACTATTTTGGTAATCTTGATGTTTATGTGTTTCGGTTGAATTTGAAGTAATAATCTTAGCTGGTAATTATTTTTAATCGCTTACAACAAGATATAACAATAATTATAATTTTAAAATCGTTACCTACTGTGAAAATAGACTGATAATATTTTATAGTTTTTTTTTTAATCCTTTCGGGTATATACCCATTAACAAAAATTTAGCACAAAAGAAAAAATAAAATAAATAAAGAAACTGTTATATTCGTAGTTAAATTGTATACTATATGTGCGTACACATATTGCACAATTATTTTTGAAATTTATGAACATAAGTAGTAACGTATGTTCATGTATTATATATATATATTTATCTATGTATATGGTATGATCATTTTAGAAATTTACATTATAATACATTCATATTACCCGCACGGTGATTTGCCAATTTTTTCTCTAAAATCGAATTACAAATAAAAATTTCCTTGATTTTAAGAAAAAATAAATTCTCTTGAAACCTAAAAAAAAAACTATGGATAAAGAAAGAAGGAAAGCAAGCTGATTTACTTTTTATTTTGTGTTTATGTGATATGAAAAATAAGGTACGATATTACGAGGGTGAACAGGATATTGTGGTGTATGAAGAAAAGTACACATAATGAGGAGAATGCCACGGTGGTTTAGAAACTGGAAATCGTTTCAGGTGTAAAAGAATGTCATGACTTTGAGAAAGTGTGGAAATTTTCTTCTAGAAGGCTGACTGACTTGTTCGATAAAGAAAATAGTGGAAAAAAAGAAGAAGAAATGCTATTATATCTTATGAAGAATGGTACATCCTCAAATTTTATATATACTGATATATCAAACAATTCTTTTCTTCTATTTTCTTTACTGTACAAGCCAGCAAAAGAAAATCACTAATTAATTTCAAAGAGAAGAAGAGGAAACTCGAATTATCTGCATGCCGATTTGTCAATTTCTCATCCGAAACCAAATTATAAGCAAGAATCTCCTCAATTTCAAGAAAAAATAAATTCCCCCAATTTCGCTATAAATTTTCTTTCACATGCAAAA